TTTGGATGGTGAAAAAGAAGGTTCCATGTACTGCATAGTGAAATGAAGATGAAGCCTGCGAAAGTCTGCAGAATAATTGGCGCATGTGCAATTCTGCATAATATTGCATTGTCTCTAAAGGAAGAGATGGAGGACGATGATGAACAAGATGACAACCCTGCAGTTCAACTGGCTTATCGTGGACCCGAAGATGGGAGGGCAATTAGAAACTTCATCACCAGAACCTATTTCTAAACTGAATCACCAGAAATAATTTTTGGAATTAAAACTTTAAAATATTTAGATGATAAATATATGATAAGGTATTTAAACACTGTAATACAACTGTTCTTTTTTTATTCATCAGTAATTGCTTGTAGAGCTAGGAGAGCATTTTCATTTTGAGAGACAGTCTGCTTCAGGCATTCGATCTGTAGCGCCAGCTTGGTGTATTGTAACTCGATGTTCTGCTTCTCGAGGTCTGTCCGTTCCAGGTCTTTGACGAGTTTCATGTTCTGCAGTTCAAAGTTTTTTTTCTGACAGCATAAGACCTTGAGAATAAAACAGACTTTTGTTATTTGTCGTTTCTAGCTTTTTTCACTCAAATATACTTATTTATATTCGACAAAAATATATAAACAACATGCACAGCAGATTAATAACTAAATACATGTATCCTCTCCTTTGGCCAAATGAATACCCGATTAGTATAAATGAATGATTATTCAGCCCCGTCTTACCTCAAACTGCATCTTCTGAAGTTGTTCAAGGGAGATCTTCCTTCTCTTTGCCGGTGCAGGTGCGGCCGGAGAAATATCGCCTTCGCTATAAATTGGGGAAAAAAGTAACGAAACTATAAAATCCATCTAATTATCACTGCAATATTCCATCATGCAATGTCATCAGCAAAGTCATTTCAATCATTCTGCAGGAATGTGCACGATCTGATCACCTTTTCTTTGCGTCTATAATTTAAACAATAAACTCCCTTTTTTGTTTATTATTACTGGAATTAACGGAAGCAGCTGTTGCAGAAAAAAATATACATAACCCGCGTAAGCGGGTTATAAGCGGGTTATGTAAATTTTTTCTGCAATAGCTGCGATCGTTAATTCCAGTTATAATAAACAAAGAAAGACATTTTATTGTTTATATTTATGTCTGTTTAAATAATTATTTAAAGTAGGTTTAAAAAGATTAATTATTGTATTAATGATGCGAACGTCTTTATACGTTTCATTGATGGAACAGCCACAGATCAAGAAATCTGTACAGGCGGCATGCCTACTGCAGTTCAGTGCGCAATGGGGTTTCTTACGAAAATAATAAAGGAGAAAATATTCAGTGGATATAAATATGTACATGTAACCAGATACGCATGGGTGAAGGACGTTGTGAATTAATTGGGCAAACGTACATGAAACAAACAAAAAATCCGACAGTTATTCCTTAAATTTACATATGCTCTTGATTCCGCCAATCCATGTGCTACAAGCCCCGCTTCTGTTTCTACTTGTCCCGCCCCGCACGTGATTTTTTTTAACCGTGCCTATCGAATTCGATGAACCAGTACCTTATGATTTGTGTAATAATAAAGTACAATAAAGTTAACAATTTTGAATTTTATCTCTGACAAAGACATTGGAAATGTTTTAATATTTTAAATTAATTCATGGAATTTATCTTTTTAAGCATGTAAAACAAAACAATGATTATAAGTCGGTGGGTTTCTGTTTATTTTTAAAGGAGGAATTCACATTACTTTGTACCTCGTAAGCTAAACCATGCTTAAGTTACTGCATACATGTACATATATGTATGTAGAAAAGTGGATTGTCAGTGTGACCCTCTTCCCTTCTTGTCAACTTTTTTTTCTTTTTATCTTGTTGTGTATGTATTAAAATATTCGTTCATTTTAAAATTAAAAACTCGAGAATTTAATAATTTCCTTTATCCATGGGAAAAATTTCTGTTTTCGAGGGGGGTGTACTGATTTGTGTTAGGTTTTATGTCGCGGACTTAGGGCAAATTTTGGAAATGATACCTTGCTGGTTCACTTATTGATCCACATGCTGTCTGTGTTTGCTGCGTCTCAGTCTCTGCTTGCTCCTCACTTGAGTCCTGTGGTGTCGACTCCGACATATTATACGGACATTTTTGCTGAAATTTTTAATTTAGAATATTTTTATTCAATCGGCCCCCCCCCTTTACCCTATTATAATTATAATAATTCTATTGCTTAAAGAATGCTGGAAGAATACTTTTAAATTTTTGTGATATAAATATTGAATCAAATCTTGTTTTCTGTTAAGGGTAAGAAAGACCCCCCCCTTTAATCACGAAATGATAATTTCTGATTAAAAAAAAATTGAAACACTTTTTGAAGGTTGCTTGGAAAAAATTTTTTCCTGCTAAACATTCCCCTAGAACCCCGGCTTTAACGAATAGGCCTATATCTACCCTTCCCCAATTTGCCAACTCCCCACAGTTTGTGTGTGTGTGACGTATCCAGCACCTATTTGGTGCCCCATTTATGACGTCATGACCTCTGAATGAGTTTCCACGTCGTCGGGAAACCCACGTTCCAAAAAAAGGTTAAGCGCAAGCATTATACTGTTTTGTGTTCTACAGATTCAACTACATTTAATACTGATACATTTTATTTATGGATTTTACGCATGTTCCATGATTGAGCACTTTTAAAGGATAGCAATGTTGGAGCATCCACTGACCACTGCTGCACGAAGTAAGTGATTTGCTAAAGAAATTTCGAATACAGTACAGCTAGGGTTTATTAGGATCAAGAAATCGTATGTAATGTTTATGTTTTTAATAAATCAGTCTGTTCACATTGAACACCATATTAGGCTTATCGAAGTAAAGTAATTTCTAACTATCTATAGGCCTAGACTAGGCTAATCTGAAATACAAGAGGCCCAGGGGCCACAGCGCTCACCTGAGCACATCGGGGTTTAATTTACTCCCCCCCCCCCCCCCCCCCTCCAGGCATTCATCATTTGAACAAACTAGAATCTACACTACCTGAGGATGATTCCATATAAATATTACTAATCATAGCTTTGAAGTACTTGAAAAGAAGATTTTAAAAGGTTTCCCTATATATCCCTATGTAAAACTTGGGTCGGCCATTTTGGCCCCACCCTAGCCCAGGGAGTCATGATTTGAACAAACTTAAATCTACACTACCTGAGGATGATTCCACATGAGTTTCATCTTTCCTGGCCCAGTGGTTCTTGAGAAGAAGATTTTTAAAGATATTTCCTATATATTCCTATGTAAAACTTGGGTCGGCCATTTTGGCCCCACCCTAGCCCCGGGGGTCATGATTTGAACAAACTTGAATCTACACTACCTGAGGATGATTCCACATGAGTTTCTTCTTTCCTGGCCCAGTGGTTCTGGAGAAGAAGATTTTTAAAGATTTTTCCTATATATTCCTATGTAAAACTTGGGTCAGCCATTTTGGCTCCACCCTTGCCCCGGGGGTCATGATTTGAACAAACTGGAATCTACACTACCTGAGGATGATTCCACATGAGTTTCATCTTTCCTGGCCCAGTGGTTCTTGAGAAGAAGATTTTTAAAGATATTTCCTATATATTCCTATGTCAAACTTGGGTCGGCCATTTTGGCTCCACCCTTGCCCCGGGGGTCATGATTTGAACAAACTTGAATCTACACTACCTGAGGATGATTCCACATGAGTTTCATCTTTCCTAGCCCAGTGGTTCTGGAGAAGAAGATTTTTAAAGATTTTTCCTAAATATTCCTATGTAAAACTTGGGTCGGCCATTTTGGCCCCACCCTTGCCCCGGGGGTCATGATTTGAACAAATTTGAATCTATACTACCTGAGGATGATTCCACATAAGTTTCATCTTTCCTGGCCCAGTGGTTCTGGAGAAGAAGATTTTTAAAGACTTTATTTATATATTCCTATGTAAAACTAGGGTCGGCCATTTTGGCCCCACCATTGGCCCTGGGGTCATGATTTGAACAAACTTGAATCTACACTACCTGAGGATGATTCCACATGAGTTTCATCTTTCCTGGCCCAGTGGTTCTGGAGAAGAAGATTTTTAAAGATTTTTCCTATATATTCCTATGTAAAACTTGGGTCGGCCATTTTGGCCCCACCCTTGCCCCGGGGGTCATGATTTGAACAAACTTGAATCTACACTACCTGAGGATGATTCCACATGAGTTTCATCTTTCCTGGCCCAGTGGTTCTGGAGAAGAAGATTTTTAAAGATTTTTCCTATATATTCCTATGTAAAACTTGGGTCGGCCATTTTGGCCCCACCCTTGCCCCGGGGGTCATGATTTGAACAAACTTGAATCTACACTACCTGAGGATGCTTCCACATGAGTTTCATCTTTCCTGGCCCAGTGGTTCTGGAGAAGAAGATTTTTAAAGATTTTTCCTATATATTCCTATGTAAAACTTGGGTCGGCCATTTTGGCCCCACCCTAGCCCCGGGGGTCATGATTTGAACAAACTTGAATCTACACTACCTGAGGATGATTCCACACGAGTTTCTTCTTTCCTGGCCCAGCGGTTCTGGAGAAGAAGATTTTTTAAAAATACCATTAATTTTTAACAAATTCATGATTATCTCCCCTTGGAAAAGGGCGTGGCCCTTCATTTGAACAAACTTAAATCCCCTTCACCCAAGAATATTTTGTACCAAGTTTGGTTGAAATTGGCCCAGTGGTTCTTGAGAAGAAGATGAAAATGTGAAAAGTTTACGACGACAACGACAACGACAACAACAACAACGACGACAGACAACGGACAAATTTTGATCAGAAAAGCTCACTTGAGCCTTCGGCTCAGGTGAGCTAATAACGTCATCATTTAATCGGCCGATAATGTAAACAAGCATATATATGTAAACATTTGAAGTCTGTACACTACAGATATTTCAGTTTAATATGCTAGCTATAAAATATTATATTTCCGACATCTAATAATGGACTTTTTACATATTTATGTCCTTTCTATGTAATATTCATCGTTATACCTGTCATGCCTGGCATTGAGGACTCGAACCCCCCAGCAATCCCAGAGAAATTGGGCCTGTCCTTCATAATCTCTATGATCTTTTCCTCGGCGGCAGTAGGGGGTTTGGGTGGAGGTCCACCGCCCGTTTTCCTGGCATGTTTACGGGCCTCCGTAAACGTCTTCTTGGCCCCCTGTTGTAGATTTCCCCATTTGAACTTTACTTGCTCGATCGACCTGCGGTGGACCCCCACCGCATTGATCAGTTCCGTCACCTCCGCCCATTTGCTGGTCTTTTTGGCATTTGTTATTAAATTGCTCTGCTTGGCCTTGAGTACTTCTTCATTTTTCTCCACGAAATCTGTTAAAACAGATATTTCGGCCAAGGACCAGTGGCTGCTCCTCTCTCGCTTTACACTAGCAGACATTTTTTTTCTCGACGTATGTACAGGGACGCGCGCGTGCAGAACGATTTAACAGAGAGTTAACTATAAGACGTCAATTAAATGTTAGTTAGCTAATTTATTTTTAATTGACTTTCGAGCAACAAATTTTTAACTGTCAGTTACGTAACTCGTCGTTAATAAAGTGCCACGCCACAGCATGATACGCCCGTCAAAAAATTACAATTATAATGTATCTTAAACAGTTAAAAGTGCAACCTTGATTTTAAGATTTCAATGATTTTTACACACCTTAAAAAATTTGTTTATCCATCTCATGTGGTGTAGGCATTAATTATAACAAATATTGCATCATTCATAGATTTCTATACCTTGCCAAATGCCTATCATGTTAAACAATATCAAATTAATCTTCACAACTTAATCTATACCTAATTAATTTTGGAAATAAAAGGCTGGCCATCAAATATAAACTGACCAACAGTTCTTCTGTCTAATTCCCGAAGGAGACAATTAAGAGCATGCTCTGAAGTAATGAAAGAGACATGCAGCTAGCCTTCCTACATTGAACACATTAATTAATCTTTAACTGGATGCTTGTCTACTCATTACTCCCAAAAGATTATTGGATCTGCACTATCTACCATAAAACATTTTTAAAACGTATAAAACATCAATGATTTTTTTTTTTTAGATTTAATGTCAGACAGTTAATTGTTAATATGCAATTCACATGGACATGCAGATTCAACCCCTACCCCCATAAAATTAATTTTTAAGTTCACAATATTATGTAATAGTTTAATATGCAATATCAAATTAGTTTTAATTACTTCTCATCAAATTCATTTTAAAACTTTGGCTATCCAAGAAGAGCTATTTTTAATCCAAAAGGCTTACCCATTTGGCCCAATACTCAAGGGATATAGATAGCACTGATGCTCTTACAGCTACTCCTCACACTAAACTCATTAATTTCTCTCTCTAATTTGACATGCAATTTTCTGTTATCAAAATTCTTCTTGACCAGTGCTTGATAATTAGACTCATGGGAGTGGTGGAATTTCTCTAACATACATTACATTTGTTATAGATTGCTGTCAAGTATATATGCTAAAAAATAAGTATTTTCTTAATTTAACATTTTTCTAATAAGGTTAGTGCAATAGTTTTACATTTTTTTGAATGTGTAAATGAATAGAAAAAAAGACATTTCTTTTTAAAAATTCCACTTAAATTAAAGGTCACAGTGACCTTGAAATAGGTCGCGACACACCTTCTACCTAAGATGCATAAACTGGCCAAGTTTGATGATTCTAAGTCTAATAGTTTTCTAGTTATGAACCGGACAGGATTTTTCCATATTTGGCTATAACTTTTTAATTATAGGTCAGAGCGACCTACTTTTTGTGCGCGACACACCTTCTACCCAAGATGTATCAGCTGACAAAGTTTGATAACTCTAGGCCTTATAGTATTCAAGTTATGAGCCGGACACAAGAAAAGCTAACAGACGGACAGACAGAGAGACAGACAGACGGACGGACACGAAGCCGATAACATAATACGTCCCATCTTAAGACGGGCGTATAAAAATTTAACGGCTAGTTACGGCACTAACTGGGAATAAATTTAACTCACGTTTGTGCAACCGAATCCAGACCTTTTAACTGACAACCTCACTTGTTTTGATTTTTTAGTCCAATGGCAAAAAATTCAAAACAAGCAAGTTTATCAGTCTTTAGAGACAACTCATAACTATAGGTTTGGGAAATGGAAAAATTATACAGGTTGAATGTAAAATGGGAGTGAAAGGTAGATGATTGACTAATGCTGAAAAGTGGAGAAATTCTACCCAACCAAGCACAGAAAATATCAACTTCTACAACAAATGTTTGTAAAACACTTATGCGCCCCTCCTCCCAAACTGGAAATTTTCTATGTCCAAAAAAGCATAGCTCTATTAAAAATGGCGCTTTGTACCCAAAACAGAACTTGACCTAGATATTTATCTGATAAATCTTTATACTCAATTTCATTCCTGTATGTGCAACCTCTGTATAGAAAATGAAAGGAAACTGCAAATAATTGGAATTTTTCCAAGTCCAAGGGGCATAACTCTGTAAATAATGGTGCAATCATACCCAAAACAAAACTTTTTCTAGATAATAATCTGTTATATCTGTATATCAAAATTTAATTTTAGTATGTGCAACGGTTGTGAAGAAAATGAACGGAAACTAAATGGACCGACAGACAGCAGCAAAGCAATATGCCCTTCCCTCTTCGAAGGGGGGAATAAAAAATCTGAGGGGACTGAAATTATCTTTCATGTAAAACATAACATACAGTACATGTATATGATAGCGTTATACAAACTTTATTCTGTAGAGTACACAATGAGCACAACTAAGCAGAAAGTTTGCCAAAGTGAAGTGAAAAGAAAAATACCATTACAACATACTAAGTATATAACAAAAAATTTCTTTTCATTCATAATTTTGAAAGTTGATGAAACTTCCTTGAGTTACCGGTTACACACACTGAATAAGTGCAATTTACAACATTATACAAATCAAGTGGACTGTATCAAGACATATGAAATAAAATACATTAGGCCATCTTTAAACAATTGTTTGTTTATCCCCATATCAACTGGCAAATTTTTTTGTAGCCACCAGACAATTATTTTTTTTGTTATTCGGGAAAATAGATTTTTAAAATTAAGCATTGGATTTGAAATTTTCTAATAAAAACATTTTTATCATCAACCCAAGTCTTTCATCCGGAGTTGGGAGAGGGCAAAAAACATTATTTTAAAGTTGGCCTTACATGTACATTTATTCACAGTGTTAATATTACAGGTATGTTCAAACATGTGTTAATGATGAATCATGTTGTGAGAAATATACAGAATGTTCAAAAAAATCTTTTACTTGGATGTCAAAGTGTAATTATGATTTTAACACATATCAAATATTTTGGATAAAATAAACTTTAATAATGTATTACAAAATCATGTTATTTAAAAAAAAAATTCTAATATTTTAAATCAATGGTTTGGGGATCTCACATATGAAGTATATGTTTCTATTTAAAATATTTTTTTTTATTTATAGCCCAGTAAACACTTTGAATTCAGTTCATTTCATTTGATCTATACTTGTTAAGAAATTCAAATTCAACAAAAACGTATAAATCAAGTTAACAGCTCTAATGTTTTGGAAATAACTTATAACAAAATCTTTCTACAAAAGGAATTCACAACAAACTGAATGGTGAAATGAAGTCTTTTGAATGCTGTAGTTTCTAAGTCTACACTGTGATTGGTTCACAGTATTTGTCAGAATACTTTTTGTTATTCACCAGAATTTCAGTATCTCCTTCCCAATAAATCAAGTTTGGTTTCTTGTCTTTTTCCCGTTGTTCTGTCCACACCACAGACCATGATTTCCGTTTCCCCGAATTTGATTGACACCAACACAGAGCGTTCTTTACCACCCCTAATATCAGGCATGTCCACCAACAGTTCACCGATACACACACAACCTTCATCACTAACAAACTGCGGATTCTCCTCATTAGATTGATAAAACTTCAACCCCATTTTTGTCATTTCAGCTGATGCTGCATAAACTTCTTTTTCAACTGTTTTTCCAACATCCACAGATTCACCAATTGCAACCATCTTCTCAAAAATATCAACACAATAATATGTGCCATCGATCTTTTTCCTCTTATTCTGTGGGTCTCCTGACATAAAATACTTCATTGTATCAAAACCGTAAGTGTGTGGACTTATCCTGGATGTAATAATATTAATGTTTTGCCCAAACATCACGGCACCTTTCAGCACAGCAAGCCCCGGATCAGTTGGTATTATGACCTTGTATCTTCTGAACCGCTTCTCAAACTGCTTCACAATGATCTCAGACTGTGAGAACCCACCCACCAGAATAATGTCATTGACTCCATGCGTGTTTGGACTTCCAAGAATTTTATCTACTGTAGTAAATAAGTGGGATAATGTCATATCAAAAATTCTCTCCACCATTTTTGGTTCAAATACCAATTTCCCGACGCGAACCTTTACTATGTCAGCAAAGGGTGATTCTTGGATCAGGTTCTTGTAAGTCTTTCCCCTCAAGCTTTTGCAAAGATCAGAAAAGGATGGAAATATAGGTAGCTGCAATCTACTTTCAAGAGTAAGATCTCGTTTTTTCAGTTCAATATTGCTCTCCATTTCCAAGTATTCTGCTGTTTGCTTCTTGAATTCTTTAATGATATCTTTTCCAAATATATTTTCGAGCATATTCCAGACATTTTTGTTGACCATATTTCCTCCCCATGCCCCTCCACTAGCTCTATACAACTGCTTCATTTTCCTGTCATCTAACAACTCCAGAACAGTGAAATCAGCTGTCCCACCTTTGATTGTAAAGGAAAAATGTAAAAATAAAATTCACATGTTGAGTTCTTATTTTCAAGTAAGAGCAGATATATATTCTAGTATTACTGGTACTCAAAAGACATCTTTTATCAAATTTATGCAAGAGTTGATCTTGGAAAAAAAGATGGATTGAACCTGGAATGTACAATCTGAGCTGTCTGAGTGTTTGTTTTTTATTACATGTAGTACTGCACATTTTTTAAAACAAGGCATTCATTTTTAGTGCAGAGAACTTTAGACATTTATAGCAAACATACCCCCTAGATCAGCCAACATGATTTTGGCACCAGGTTCATATGTCGTAAGGGACTCTGCTCCAAGAACTTGTTTGGATTCTTTGATGACATATATTGCCGCTGCTTCTGGTTCAAGAGCTAGTTTCAGTTGATGAGATGGAATTTCCGCCTTAAATTATATTTCAGAACAAGATTAAAATTTCTAAATATATAAAATTTATATATGTCAGGCATGATAGTTTAAAAAAGTCTAAACCATACAATAATCCTTAAAGTTTTAAATGAGAAAGTCACTGAACTAGTACAGTGTATTCCTGATTAGTGATACTAAAATTCTTTTGAAAGATCCTGTGTTTTATCCTCCTAAGTTGAATTCTTGAAAACATTTTTTTCAAATAAAAATCTTAGGTTCTCTTTTCCTAGACTTAGGAGGAAGATTTGAACTCATGAGTCCATTACTGTTGAAGAATATAGTAATTCCTTTAGTCTTAAAAACTCGAAAGAGAATATTTAATACATGTATAAAGAAATTTACCTGTTCTGCTGCTTTTCTCATGAACTGCTTGGCAGATTCATCCCATATTGCAGGCACTGTCAAAATCCAGCGTATTTCATCATCAGCGACCATCATATTCTTCTCTTCAAGAAGTTGTGTGCACTCATCCTTCAGGAACCTGATGGCAATAGAAAACACCTCTATTGCCTTGGCTGAATCTCCCAAATGATCTTCAATTTCCATTTCTTTGTCAAATGTCTGCAATGAAAAAAAAATTTCAAATTAGAAAATTTTTGGAGTTTTAAGGTACATCAATACTCTGATAAGAGAGATAACTCTCAATGACTTAAATGTCTATTATTCTTATATATATCTGCAACGTTCAAGCATCTTTTTTGTCCAATTTTGCCCCGCAAGCTATTCTATAATTGTTTGTATTTTAATTGTAAAATACATTTCTTTTGGAAAATCATTCAAGTTCAAGCAACATGTTATAAGAGTAAGCAGAGGGTTTATAAACCTTAAACTAATTAAAATCAAATTTCATAATTAACCCATTTTCTTACTTGTTTCTGGTGAAGACACATCTTGAATTTACTGAAAAATCTGTAATCACTATCAAGTCTGTCTTCAAGCAATTCTTTGAAAATCCTCTCTGCCTCAAATCCAAACTCTATAAGTTCATTATTTTTGTTCAACAGCAAAGAAGTGGGAGTTTTAAGTGATTCCAGCACTTCTGCAGAGTTTGTTTTCCATTTTCCAGGATAAATCTCAGAGGGATTTTCTTTCCTCCAAAATGCAAAACCTGAATATGTTGTTCCAAAGTCCAGAGCTACCACGACTGACCATTCATCTATATGGCATGAATTTGGAAGAATTAAATATGAAAATGTCAAAAGACTTTCAAATTTTAGAGAATAACCCTGAATACCAGGGTAACAGCTATCATGTACATAATCATTATTCTGCAAATCCTACACAAGCTATCTAAGGAATGAAATTTAATAGCTATAAAAATTGATTGACAGCTACAACGCTCAACCCTGTTATTATGTAAGGGCTATTCTGCTTTCATAAACAGATTCATTTTCCTACATATTATTATTACCTCATATGTTCAAGTTTGATCACATAATTATATACTCAACAAAAAAAGAAATGCATATTGTTTTACTCGTCAAAGAAATTTTAAAAATATACATGGAACAACTATCTTGTAAATCATTGGATACCTGTGATCTTTTTCAAGGACAACATGGGGTTTTAAAGCCCAAGTGTTGAATTATCTCCCTTGATTAAACGTGTGTATAAAAGTAGTGTTTTTCAAGATTTCTTCTAAATCGGATGTCTATTTTCGTTGATATTTTGGATTTAGAGAAAGCATTAACACTCCGATTAAATCCATATTTAAGATTTGATTGCAGTGTTGATGCTGCAATGCCACGCCAAAACAAAGATGAACACAACCAGGCTAACGATGATACTAAATGGAGCTACGCAACAGAAAGTTGCAACTGCATCTGGAATACATGAATGGGCTTTGCAACCATTGAGCTAACGTCGGAAGACCAAGACCTGGCCGTCCTCAGGTAACCACACCCAGGCAGGACCGTCAGACCCCCCCCCCCCTTTCAGCACATAACGCTATTCATAACTTGCTGTAACAAGAGGCCCAGGGGCCACAGCGCTCACCTGAGCACACCGGCATTCATCATTTGAACAAACTAGAATCTACACTACCTGAGGATGATTCCGTATAAATATCACTAATCATAGCTTTGAAGTACTTGAAAAGAAGATTTTAAAAGGTTTCCCTATGTATCCCTTTGTAAAACTTGGGTCGGCCATTTTGGCCCCACCCTAGCCCCGGGGGTCATGATTTGAACAAACTTGAATCTACATTACCTGAGGATGATTCCACATGAGTTTCATCTTTCCTGGCCCAGTGGTTCATGAGAAGAAGATTTTTAAAGATTTTTCCTATATACTCCTATGTAAAACTTGGGTCGGCCATTTTGGCCCCACCCTTGCCCCGGGGGTCATGATTTGAACAAACTTGAATCTACACTACCTGAAGATGATTCCACATGAGTTTCAGCTTTCCTGGCCAAGTGGTTCTGGAGAAGAAGATTTTTAAAGATTTTTCCTGTATATTCCGAAGTAAAACTTGGGTCGGCCATTTTGGCCCCACCCTAGCCCCGGGGGTCATGATTTGAACAAACTTGAATCTACACTACCTGAGGATGATTCCACATGAGTTTCAGCTTTCCTGGCCCAGTGGTTCTTGAGAAGAAGATTTTTAAAGATTTTTCCTATATATTCCTATGTAAAACTTGGGTCGGCCATTTTGGCCCCACCCTAGCCCCGGGGGTCATGATTTGAACAAATTTGAATCTACACAACCTGAGGATGATTCCACATGAGTTTCAGCTTTCCTGGCCCAGTGGTTCTGGAGAAGAAGATTTTTAAAGATTTTTCCTATATATTCCTATGTAAAACTTGGGTCGGCCATTTTGGCCCCACCCTAGCCCCGGGGGTCATGATTTGAACAAACTTGAATCTACACTACCTGAGGATGATTCCACATGAGTTTCATCTTTCCTGGCCCAGTGGTTCTGGAGAAGAAGATTTTTAAAGATTTTTCCTATATATTCCTATGTAAAACTTGGGTCGGCCATTTTGGCCCCACCCTAGCCCCGGGGGTCATGATTTGAACAAACTTGAATCTACACTACCTGAAGATGATTCCACATGAGTTTCAGCTTTCCTGGCCAAGTGGTTCTGGAGAAGAAGATTTTTAAAGATTTTTCCTATATATTCCTATGTAAAACTAGGGTCGGCCATTTTGGCCCCACCCTAGCCCCGGGGGTCATGATTTGAACAAACTTGAATCTACACTACCTGAAGATGATTCCACATGAGTTTCAGCTTTCCTGGCCCAGTGGTTCTGGAGAAGAAGATTTTTAAATATTTTTCCTATATATTCCTATGTTAAACTTGGGTCGGCCATTTTGGCCCCACCCTTGCCCCGGGGGTCATGATTTGAACAAACTTGAATCTACACAACCTGAAGATGATTCCACATGAGTTTCAGCTTTCCTGGCCCAGTGGTTCTTGAGAAGAAGATTTTTTAAAAATGCCATTAATTTTTCACTTATTCATAATTATCTCACTTGAAAGAGGGAGTGGCCTTTCATTTGAACAAACTTGAATCCCCATTACCCAAGGATACTTTGTGCCAAGTTTGATTGAAATTGGCCCAGCGGTTCTTGAGAAGAAGTCGAAAATGTGAAAAGTTTACAGACAGACGGACAGACAGACAGACGGACAGACGGACGCCGGACAAAATGTGATCAGAAAAGCTCACTTGAGCCTTCGACTCAGGTGAGCTAAAAACTACTGCTACAATTGCTGAATGAAAAAATCAGCATAAAAGTGCATAAATTGTTTGCAAGAGACTGAAAGGAGCTGGTATTCATGCACGACATCCGTACATTGGAAATCTGCCAGCGCTTAGACGTTGCAAAGGATATATGAATTGGTTAAGGCGTTATGCCCCTTGAATTTGGAGGCATCGACAATGACAAAAACTTTACTTTACTACTTACAACACAGGATATGTTTAATTTTTATTAAAACCCTCTAAAATCACTTTAAAATAAAATAGGATTAAACTGAAAACATAGATTATCATGTTTGATCTGAATATGCGTTTCTTTTTTTGTTGAGTATATAAGGCCCCACCCTACCAAATGGGTCATAATTTGAACAATCTTAGAACTACACTACCTTAGGATGTGTCTATTTTAATATGAATAAACATGGCTTTCACTGTGTACAATCCAACTTATATGGGGGTATGGAAAGTAAACAAAGGAGGTACTGATGTTACTGGGTACTGATTTTGATGCCAGATTTACCAGTAAGTTGCTCTTATCAGTTTTGCCAAAGTGATTAGGATGAAATAAGTTCCTAGTTAACATACTTTGGTACATTGTGATTTCTTTGCTTATTGATTTCACAATTCTTACTTGAAATACATAAACATATACACAAATTTTCTAGCTATTACATGTTGGAATGAAGATCTGATCTGTTGTTGGTGAAAACCCTTGCTTATTTTATCATTTTAATACTTCAACAACAACAATGACAACAGAACAATTTTGATCAGAATACTTACCTGAGCCTTAAGTTCAGGTGAGCTAAAAACATTCTAAATCTAACCTGTTTCCATTCAAAATTAATGTGGAAATTTGGAAAACAAATTTAAAATTCACTTTTACCTTCACCCTTCTCTGAACATGGACGCCCATATATTTTTCCTGGAACTTGACTGCGTGGAACAGGACTTCTTTTTGGCCGTAGGACTTCCTTTCTGGGATAAACAGGGGTCTGTTTTACAGTCTGTCTTAATGGCAATGGGTCACGTTTTACTTCAGACTTCATGTCAGTTTCTCTCCTAAAAACCACTTCTTCTGAATAACTTGATGACTTGGGCATCATATCAGTTTCTCTGCTATATTCTATTTCTCCAGAAAAACTCGAGGACTTAGAGATTTCTTCCATGTCTGAAAATAAAATTCACAGAAATATATATAAATATTAACTGAGGCTTGTAAAATCAAAGATTACAGAGCTCGAGCTAACTTAAATTTTATTTCAGAGTAAGGCAAGTCCCTATTTTAATTAATACTTGACATTGGCATCGGAAGCAAATTGAAAGTGTTTTCAAAGTTTTTCAAAACCCTACTACTTACACTTCTTTGAATACACTGCAACTTTTGCATGTTGAAAAGGGGGAGGGGTTATACATATGCCCCAGTGTTCAATGTCTTTAATATGTCTATCTTTGAAAAAATTGTGAGGGGATTTTGCTCCCCCCTTCAATATCAGCATATGAAGAACAAATATGAACTAGAAAACTGACCAGTCAGCAAGGGCCCCGCCGTGGGTAGAATTACATGTATAAGGGTGCAGCTTATGGAATGATTAAAAAATATATGACAAATAAGAAACAGCAATTGTATTTAAATAAGGCAGTAAAGAACAACTCAACACTGAATGTATATCTAAACAATAATGAAGTCTGTGTTACATAAAATGCCAGCCTTCAGTGAATGCAAATACATATCATGAAGACTTGACCTTAACTTCAAAACAAACAGCAGTTGCAGACTCAGGTTTTCATTAATCTTAAAGAGACAGATAAAGATAGGACTTCTAAATTTTCTGCAGCAGAGTAGATAATTAATCCCAAGGGATTAATTGTACTTCTCTCTTATCATTTTCTTCTAATTTATAATAAAAACTTTTTCAGTAATGATAGAATGAGGTTTTTATCCTACTACCTTAAAAATTAATAATATTCTTGAATTTACATGAAGCAAAAAAAAAAAAATAAATAAATAAAAATATATATATTTTCTTTAATCTATTTCTTGTTTTAAGAATTCAATGAAATCAGAACTCGTTGTGTAGGGTATTTCAACAAAAAAAACAGTAAAAACATTAATAATTCAATCCACTTAAATGGACTTAACTTCAAAACAAACTTCATTTGCAGACAGAGGTGGTAATTAGTCTTAATGTGACAGATAAAGATAATGCTTTGGATTTTCTTCAGGAGGAAAGCTAATTAATCCCAAGGGACTCATTCATTGCAGTATTCAGTTTACAATGGGAACATTTTCAGAAGTTATCTCTCTTTACCAATTCGTTCTTATATAAAGTTAAGGAATGTACCCCACCACCCCAGCTCCAAACCAGAGGACATAGAGAAACAAACTTAGCATCAAAATATGTCTTTTTGCCTACTGAACTACCATACCAAATTTGAACTTAATTGGGCTACCATAAAAAAAGTTATTAGGAAAAAACAGAAAATTTGTGGACGGAAGAATGACAGACAGATGGACAGACAGAGTGATTACTATAGGGCACCCGCAAATCCTTGCGGGGCCCTCATTACACATGAATGGTCCTGTTTAAAAAAAAAGTTAAACCTGGTCACTTATCTAAACAAGAGGCCCAGGGGCCACAGCGCTCACCTGAGCACATCGGGCTTGAATTTTACCCCCCCCCCCTTCCAGGCGTTCATCATTTGAACAAACTAGAATCTACACTACCTGAGGATGATTCCATATAAATACCCCGGGTATCACTAATCATAGCTTTGAAGTACTTGAAAAGAAGATTTTGAAAGGTTTCCCTATATATCCCTATGTAAAACTTGGGTCGGCCATTTTGGCCCCACCCTATCCCCAGGGATGGGGGTCATGATTTGAAAAAACTTGAATCTACACTACCTGAGGATGATTCCACATGAGTTTCATCTTTCCTGGCCCAGTGGTAATTGAGAAGGATTTTTAAAGATACTTCCTATATATTCCTTTGTAAAACTTGGGTCGGCCATTTTGGCCCCACCCTAGCCCCGGGGGTCATGATTTGAACAAACTTGAATCTACACTACCCGAGGATGCTTCCACATGAGTTTCATCTTTCCCGGCCCAGTGGTTCTGGAGGAGAAGATTTTTAAAGATTTTTCTTATATATTCCTATGAAAAACTTGGGTCGGCCATTTTGGCCCCACCCTTGCCCCAGGGGTGATGATTTGAAAAAACTTGAATCTACACTACCTGAGGATGATTCCACATGAGTTTCATCTTTCCTGTCCTAGTGGTTCTTGAGAAAAAGATTTTTAAAGATTTTTCTTATATATTCCTATGTAAAACTTGGGTCGGCCATTTTGGCCCCATCCTTGCCCCGGGGGTCATGCTTTGAACAAACTTGAATCTACACTACCTGAGGATGATTCCACATGAGTTTCATCTTTCCTGGCCCAGTGGTTCTGGAGAAGAAGATTTTTAAAGATTTTTCCTATATATTCCTATGCAGACTTGTCGAAATTTTT